GCCTAAAACAGATTTCCGCAGCTATCGTCCAATTAACAAAATTCCATTCTATCACAATGATGGAGAGAATTGTAAAGGAAAACTAACTGCTTTCTTCTTATTGCGCAGTCTTTTCTAGCATTTGCATCACGGCCTCTTCAAGTATCGTTCATGCATAACTCGTCAAAGTGATTTATTAGACATCTCCACCGGAGCGAGTGCTTACTGACTACGGTGCATTGTCCTCTATAACGACATGCCAAAAGTGTTTGGTCGAGGCCCACACGTATGACTATTACCGAAAATGAATAGTTTCGGTACGAACAGTCCGCCTATTTCCGCGTTTGAATCTTATCTGACAGGACACCAGCAGACAGTCAACACAATCGAGTTCAAATCTGCGACCAAAAAATTATTAGTGGGGAATTTTGATTGTCGGGTTTTGGAGTACCCGCCGTGTGCCTTGGATTGCGACACGCAATCTCAATCGTGGCCTCGGTTGACTTTGAAGTCAGCCTCTGTCAATACGATCACTGGGACTGTCACCGAAGTGGAAGGTTTCGGTGTGGCTCTATCCCATCCCTGCACTCCACGACCGACGGTTTCGTCTTGGTATAGAGTCATCAGGTAGAGACAGCCGAGCTGGGAGTGGAACTCGGCGCAGAGTGCTTGTCGGCTATCGCCATGATCCCTAGGCCATTGAGCTCCGCGAGCGGTGCTTGACACAGCGGTTAGAAGTTGGTTGTCGGGTTTTGGGGCACCTGCCGTGTAGCGTAGTTCAAAGCAGTGTTCTAAGTCCTATCCTTTTCTGATTGCACATATGTCACATGCTTCGCTAACTCATAGTTGCAGATTATTTGAAAGTAGTGTATGCGTTCCATTCATCACTATATATAACTGAGATAGCAAAGAGTAAGTCCGATCCACAAACAATAGAGGGCTTCATCGCGAAGCAGCACATGCACTTCTCTACACAATACTACAATATAAATGACTTATGGATGCCGTATAGAGTCATGATTATTTCTACTTCATGGTGACACCATTCTAGTATGTTCTACGGGCAGCGATTTTTGATTGTGGTATTCCAAATCCCCGAGCTCCAGCGAACATGAGAACTATTTCGTAACTAAAGCAATGTAAATAATGGGATCAGACTCATGGCATATAAAATAAAAATCAAGTCGTTGTTAAAATACTGCTGCGCTACGTTCAGCAATCTATACAAATGTGGCATGAATCACCTAGAAAATGGTCAACGTACCTTCACTAAACGCATCTTTGTTTACTCCACACTAGTTGCACAAAAGGGAAAGTATCCCGCTAGTCGGGAAACATACCAAGTAATTAATTAATTATTTAGTTATAAACGTAGATGTAATGAGTTAAAATTCGAGCCCCAATGGTTGCGTAGACTACATTTAAATTTCAACTTCCAACGCAAGTTGTTGTGTTCAAAAGTGCATAACGAACACCGCGCTATGCAATTTCGATTGGAAACCAGGTATGAAATAGGTGCCGCGGAATGTACGATGGCAGTGTTTACATTCAGTACCAGAGTCAGAAAGAACAAAACTTTCAAGGTTTGGTCTAATAAGGAATAAGTTGCCTAGTTGCATACAATGTACAAAAGTTAAGCAAGTTCTACGAATTGATTAGGGTTTCCTAGATACTGGCGAAAGCAAAACAGATCCCAAATTTACAACTAAACGATAGCTTATTGTTTGAAGGGGGATCATATATGAAACACAAAGAGCACGGCAGTCGTGGATGAGAGCGAAACTGTTGCAATAAACAATGAAGCAAGAGATGTGACGATAAAATGAAAAGAAATTAAATAAAACAAGTATTCGAGATTATCAATGAAAACGCCCCTACCAAGCGTTACTAGACTGAAATAGCGTGTAAGTTTGCCTGATCTTACCTTCTGAAATCCATAATACCAGTCCCGCAGTTTTACGTATTAAGCTCATTTTACATCCATTTTACAAAATGCTTGGTATTTCTGCGCTCCTTTCCTGGTGTGCTCAAATTATTAGTCCAGCACTGCGCTTTATTTGCATTACTACGTAAAACTTCCACTTCGCTAACTTGTTACACTTAACTGCCAATTCCATTTTTCTTTTTTAAGTCTGCTGCGCGAACGGTAAGTGACCATCTCTGTGTGATCGACTGTCTGAAAGTAAGAAATTAAATCCGCCCATTCTGGAACCTTCACTTGATTGGCGTTGGCGGTAAGACAAATGCAGAGATGTGAAAAACTGCGTGTAGATTATGGAGGGTTTCGGTGTGGCTCTCTCCCATCCTGTACTTCACGACCGACGGTTTCGTCTTGGTTTAGACCCATCAGGTAGAGATAGCCGAGCTGGGAGTGGAACTCGGTGCATACGGTTTGGCGGCCATCGCCAAGGTCACTAGGCCATTGAGCTCGGCGAGCAGTGATTGACACAGCGGTTGGAAGTTGGTTGCCGGGTTTTGGAGTACCCGCCGTTTGTCGTGGATTGTGACACGCAATCTCAATTGCGGCCTCGGTTGACTTCGAACTCAGCCTTTGCCAATACGGTCACTGGGAGCATCAATGAAGTGGAGGGTTTCGGTGCGGCTCTCTCCCATCCCTGCACTCCACGACCGACAGTTTCATCTTGGTATAGAGTCATCAGGTAGAGACAGCCGAGCTGGGAGTGGAACTCGGCGCATATTGCTTGGCAGCTATCGCCACGATCACTTAACCACTGAGCTCCAAGAGAAACACTGCACAACTAAATATTTAGCTTATGCTTACGGCTCCGTATTCCTTACAAAACCCTGGTCGGAATCGAAAATTATTTCATTTAACATTCCTGTATCATTGTCGTTATTCGCCAGGAATTTCAACCAAATTGTGATTGACGTATTCAGAACTGCTGTACATGTTATCATTTTGTAACTCCCCATATGTTATATTTTTCTTTATTTCGTTATTATCCACCACTATGCTCTTATCTTGAGATGCTAAATTGTTGTTTGCAAGCTAATAATCATACCCATGCAAGGCGCATTTCCTCTAACTTATTAATGTGATTGATTATGGATTCCAGTGCATTATCATCTTTCTTGACATACAACAAAAGAAGTGCTATTCTCAAGATATCTGAATTACGGAACAGGCTGGGTGGCTTGATTGCCCGTAACGTATGTATAAAGAACAGCCCTGACATATGTTAAATAGGTGATGACATACTTGCTATTAGCCATACTTTCACACAGCCAGATGAGTATGGAAGTAGGGGTGAAACCTGTCGAGGGAATAGCCTGAATGGAAGCAAGTCCCCTGGTGACGGTTCCATAGATGGCCGTAATACTTTACTTGAACACTTGAGTAAAACTGCATTTTTATTTCTCCCAGATGCTCAATTTCCCTAATAGATTTAACCTGCCAATCCCTTTACAAATCCGTTTGGGATTCTTTATATAAAACGCATTGACGTAGCAACTAAGTACATCACCCGGGGTGGTGTTACAAATTTCGCCCATCGCCTGGCAGCTCGTAAACCCTTAAAATCGGCTTAGAGTAAAGTCCACGTTGGTTCTCGATGAAATGGATAATCGTTTGGGACACTAAAATAAATGTGAAATTGACCACAACGGGACAAGTTAGAGGGGTCACTGATGTGAACGTTTATATAGGTGTGCCACATGGCGCAAAAATCTTGTTGGTCATTCAGAGTAACATAAAATATGCAACCCTAATCGTAGCTGGAAATTCTGCCCTTTATACTTGGTATCGAACAATCAACAGCACTAAAAATGTCGCCCCCTGTCTATTGCCGCCCTGGGCGGTCCACCCCCCTCTGCTGCAGGTATAATAAAGCGATATCGCAGTTCGAATTGATCAGAGCACTCAGCTGAACTGCGCCTCGCACCGTCGAGGAATATACCGTTTATTTATTTATTTATTTAGTGCTTATGGTTGACGTAGCTAGTTCACTCTAATGGAAGGGATAGGTAGAGGATTTGAGTCAAACGGTGATTTCTATTGTAGGTCCATCGAGTTAATAGTCCCTTTTGATTGGCATCATTGCATTTTTTGGCACAGTGTCCAGCAATACTCCTATGGTATAGTGAAATGTAGAAGATTACCGTCTAGTAATTAGTACATGGACCAAATCCGTCATGCTACACAAAAATGAAAATTTCTCATCCAGTTATGTTGATGGTAAGCTTACAGTCTCCTGAAGAAGACTTCTAATATGCTAACTGGCTAGTGGTATGCACAACCAATGGAATAATTCTAATCTAGTTTCGAAGAATTGTCTCAAAGCTGGGTTACTACGGTTACTACTGATATAGATATCAGTTATCCGTAGTAACCCAGGTTTGAGGCAATGCTTCGAAACTATGTTAGAGTTACTCCATTGGTTGTGCGTACCACTAGCCAGTTAGCATATTAGAAGTCTTCTTCAGGAGACTGTAAGCTTACCACTAACATAGCTGGATGGGAAATTTTCACTTCGTGTGTGACGTGACGGTCTCTGTTGGTCAGAATTCATTTCGGCAGCGAACCAATTCGAGTGCACGTGATGCCATCTGAAACATATCCCTAGTCCTGAGTATGTAGTGGAACAATCCGCCGTATGCAGGACATACTCGTCAAGGATAATTTGTTCGTATTACCTCCTTGTACTGCAGAGTGTGCGTTCAGTTATCTCGTAGGGCGCGGAATTAGGACTTCTTGGTCTAATCCTGACGATGCTGCTGGCAGATTGTCAGAAGCACGCTTGTCATATTTCGGAGTACGTATCATGATGCATGTAGGCACACAAGAGGGATGCTTGAGTCCGGAAATTTGCTTTATGATTTGAGATGCATCAGATAGTGGCATGCTACTCACTCGGTAAATTAACTGAGACTATTGAGCAATAGAAATGGGTATCGCGCAGATAGGGGAGCGACACAGTAACGATTGATGTATGGCAAGAACATATAAGTGATGTGTAAAATGGCTGTCCGTATCCGTACCATCAAAAATCATAAGTACTTACCAGAAGGCGTCAACCAGGTAATCAACTTTAGCAACTGACAAAGGCCTTGTGAAATCTTGCTTAGTGTCCTGGTGCGTCCAATGAAAAGAAAGCTGGTGAAACAGATATTAGTACAGCCCAGGTCAATTGTGCAAATTTGGTTGGCTCACTGAGTAGTGGAGTGCATAGCGAGTGCATTATTTTTCAGTTAAGTAGGGAACTCTGCAAGTGTACAGTTGAAAACTGACTCATTTTTTTACCTCGTTGATAGAGCGAAGATGAAAGAAGCAATGTAAACTCAAACCTTCCCTACTATTCACTCCACAGTTTCCGTAGTCCTTCACAATTTGCAAAAAAGCTGGCACGAAACAAAAAAAGAGCCAGGTTAGTCTGGTAGCAAGAAAACTCCATTTTAAAGAGGAATTATTCCATTCACTAGTGTGGGAACGGCTGAGCTCGTTCAAATGCACAGGCCTTTAAGTGGCGACGGTCATTGAGACCTTAATAAAGGACACGGACTGGTTGATCTGAACATGCTACCGGAGGCGGTGGACTGCATGGCCAGTTCTCATTGGCCAGTTTAGTCAGACGCCTGCGTGGACCCATTACCTATCCCTACTTCGCATGCGCATGCATCCCATGCATCAAAATAGCTATCGATCTGCCGAGTGCAGTGGCGGCTAGGCCAGCCAATCAGAACCAGAAATACGACCAATCCTATCCACTGCCTGACGTAAGATAGAGGCTGCCCTACTCAGTAATCTGCTGCAGTGGATCGGAATGTCCCATAGGAGGGAATCGGGTGCGGTTCCACCATGGGTGATCCCTGAATCCATGGGACGGCGACCAAATTCCGTATCGGATGTGCACAGCGGCGCTAAAAACAGCCCTAATCGGGACTTGTCTTTGTTGCATAAAGATACAAGCCCGGGCACCACAGATGGAAAACTTGTTAATATAACCCCTGGACTAACGTGTGAAACGGATGACTTCAACTCACAGGTAAGGTTGGACATGTCACGCTTATATACTGCCAACTATAATGGTTTATTTTAATTCACCGGTCTCAAATATGCACTATATATTTACTTAACCGGAAGAAGACTGAGAATGTCCGTGTTGAACTAGCCCGCTCTCTAACTTAAGATAAAACTCGAACGAATTCTCGTCTTAGCTGTGACGCTGAGAGGCATAGTTGCTAGTATTCCGTATAAAGCACAACTACTCGCTCAAGAACCTGAAAAGATTAGCCCCAGCTACTTATTGTGGTGGCGTGTACCACAAACAGGACATCTGGTGAATTTAAACCGGTCGCGAACAAACGGTGCATGGGTTTTTCATCGCATACACTGTCTGCTGTTATTCTAGTGTGGACCGGCGTATTGTATTTGGACTCTGCCAGTTCCCCTAGGCAGATATGATGTACATCGAGATGACGGTCAACGAAATGAAGTCCTCTTTCGAGTGGACCACTAGTGGAAATACAGAGGGACTATTTTCACCACCTTTGATAGCTAAAACAGAACCCACCTTAATGCGTAATAGTGTATGTAGTGTATGATGGAATGTAATTAGCCACCAGACGAAGATTTCGCATCATTCGACGGCCTTTTCTCATGAATGTGATTCCACTACCTGACTTCCATGGTCATAATACGACAACCAGGAATTGTTGTCTGCTGATTTTTTCAGTCGTAACCATGTCCGCCGTATACCACTCGACGGAGCACGTAATAGGAGGTTTCCCGACTAGCTAAAAACTTTATTCTCCTTCGTAACCATAGTGGTGCTGCTGAGCTGCAGTAGAGTACTGGTTCATTCGACCAAATAATAAGGAAATGTAATTAGCTTATTGGTTCAGGTGCGCTTATAACACGCTCCAATAACCGACGACACTGCTTGTCTACAGACATGTCACATCGGCTGATGGCCGAGGGGTCTGCGCACCTGTTTAGCAACGCTAAGGTCACCGGTCCGAATCCGCGTGGGGGCGGGCGTCCTCACGGTGTACTCAGTCCACGCGCCAATGTTGTAGGTCGCATGACAGCGAAGCGACGTTACGGCGTACAGCTGGCGATTTCTTTTTTATCACGGGTAAAAAGCAGGCGCTTGACAAATCCTGTAGGATGGCTGGGGTGAAACCTACAATGTCAAAAGATACGTGAGCCGTCTGTTTAAGCATCTTTCGAGCAGATGCGCTGCTAAATAACGACACTGTAAAATAAGAGTTTCATGCAAACATGCAAGGCAAGCTGGAGGTAGTTACAGTTGACACGTTCCGCGAAGAAAAGAAAAACAAGTAGCTACACTTCTCTACCGCTTTCTTGGGTCCATGTGACACATAAAACTGGTATGAGGGCGTGCTTGATATATTCCAAAGTGGCAACAGCTTGACTGGCAACTTCCACTGGTTTTTTGGAAAGATCCAAGGTGGGGTGGAGATAACCGAGTTTGAGAGAGAGTTCCAAGATTTGTAAACCGGAAATGTAAAGGAATTCCGTCGGCATTCTAGACCACTATATTGTTAAGTTAAATATAAGTAATTACTTCTGAGTTTGGTGTTGTAAATGAGTTTCAACAAGTGATGGCATAAGTGATTAGCGTCACTTAATATGAGATCATTGTATAGCCTTCGATGGCGTCCACCGAAAAGTTCCAGTCCCTTCAACCTTTGCTGGTAAGAGTAATTTCATAGACCCTTGACATTCCATGTAGGCCTGCTTTGTGGTGTCTTTAGCATCTCCAGGTCGCACCAAAACCAAAGTTACCAACCTTGGATGGCGTATTCGACGTGATCATCACGAGGAGGCCGGACCGTAACGTGGTGCGATGGTTTGTGTGACTCAGTGACCCATTGTGTTACGCTGCGTGGTGGACTTGCACATTCAGAGTCACTCATACCAGATTGGTCAATGGTTAGATGCCAGACAAACTCACGTTCCTGGTCCGCCAGGCTGGGCGTTAGAGTAAGGGCGGCTCCGTACTCCATAAAATGGACTCTCTGTAGCCCAGCGCCAAAACCCCGCTACCTTGCGGTCAGAGGTTGAACCAAAAGCTTTGGTTGTGAACCCTAATCGTTCTCCTGTCTAAGCCTCGGCAAACCTGACAGTATGTTGCCCACGCAGTACAATGAACCATTCTTTAAACAATTTCTTGGTGCTCTGCCTTTCGCAGGATAATCAACGGCGCCCTAACTTCTACATCGAGCAGGGTGGATTGGGACTTGGATGCTACTGCTCCTATTCTCCCTCTTGCGCTTTTTCATCCTTAGCGTTCCGCTCCAAATTCACTTCCCTCCGTTTTCAATTCCCCAATTCTTGGCCCTCACCCATATTGTTCCAATAGTAGCTTGTCTTCTAGTTTCAACACATGTAAGCGCAAAGCGCTGCTCCAATCCAGTTGACAAGTCCATATTCGACCAAGCGGACAACGCCATTTCATCCGTTTCCCTTCGGAGTCCTCGATCCTCGCTAAGACTGACATGTCACAGTGAGCACACTTTGCTACAGACTTGCCAACAGGCAGCACTTGCGCGTGCATTAGATATCCTCTCGATAGATATTTGCTGTTTGTCAGAAACACGCCTGCAAGATTCGAGCTCCGTGCTTACCTTACGATCCGCTACACGCGACACTTGCGGCACATTTTCATTGCGCCAGTCTGGAGATGACGCAGCTTCAGACGCAGGTCAGGCTGGCGTCGGCGTTGTTTAGAGTAACCGGACTGAAGCTGCCATGATCGACTGGATCCCAGTTAGCAGCCGAATGTACGCCGTTAGAATAGCTGGCTCGTTCCAGGCTTCGAAGTTGCGCTTGCACAAACGGGGCCTGTTTATCATTGCGTCCTACGCCTCCACAAAACTTAGCATTGATTCGGTAAAAGATAATTTCCACCACCAAATTAACGATTTCCTTCATTGCCGAAGAAGCACGGCCACTGTGGTGATGGCTGGTGATCTAAACGCCCAAGTCGGAAAATTGTCCTCTGGGCGGCCAACATAGTGCAGACTCCCGTAATTATAACGGTGAGCGATTGCTACAGCTGTGTGAAGATGCTCGTCTCTTTCTCATGAGCACAAACTTTCGACACAGTACCCGCAGAAGCGTGACTTGGTGCCCACTAGTCTCTGACCAGCCATGGACGCAAATTCATCATATCGCAATCAGTTACCGGTGGAGAGGCTGCGTCCAAATCTGTCGCTCGATTTGGTGTACAAGAGTGAATTCCGATGACGCTCTTGTGTGTGCCGACCTTCTGGTGTGTTTCAGCCGATGTCCGCAAAGCCACCAGATAACTGGGAAGCCAGATGTTCCAAATGCGTATCGAAGTACGCTGGCATCCGGGCTGAGAAAGTGCCCGCTGAACACCGCCGAAGAGCACTGCTTACATATTCGCCAAACGTTACCATCAGCAGGCATGTCTTCATATGGCAAATCAAATTGCCAACCTAGACATTGGGTCTCTACGCTGTCTCTAGGACTTATGGATGCGCGCCGACTTACTCTTGCTGGGAGTGAATACAATGAGACTCGCAAAATCCTCAGGGCAAAACTGCGTGCTAGCCTGAAGAGAGACCGCAAAGCCCGGTGGTTTCCTCGTGCAACGGCAATGGAAGCAGCAGGTCCCGTTGGTAATCATCGAAAGTTATTTTGTCTGATACGGAAAAAGGGCAGCAGATCTGGTGTTAGCGAGAGTGGGCAGCCGATCCACAGCTTGTCAAAACACTTGGAGTGTGGGGCCGAACAGTTTGCAATACAGTTCAACCAACCTGAGTTATCACTGACTTTCTCGGGCATTGAGAACTATGTTCCCCTTGCCTTCTTGGATCCGCCCTCACGCGCAGAAGTCGAACGTGAGATAAGACTGTTGAAATTGAATGAGGCCCTGAGGTACATAGAATTCCCCTAGCTTTTTTCAAATCCGGGGCTCTGATTTACAAGTTGCTAGTGAAATTTTGGGGGCAGAATACTGTCCCGACACACTGGGGCCGCTTTGTTATAGTCCCAATTTTCAAGGGAGGCTACCGTTCGGCATGTGGCAATCAAAGTAGGATCAGTTTGATCTCAAGTACCTCTAAATTGTTTTCGTCTGTTGTTCTCCACAGACTGACTGACGCCCTGGAAAGCCAGATCCCTGAGCAGCAAGCCGGGTTTCGTCGACTTCGGAGCTACATCGACCACAACTACACCTTACGTCAATTGTCGGAGCACTACCATGTTTATTAGCGACCCATCGTAATCGTGTTTCTCGACATAAAAGGTGTCTTCGTTTTGATTGATCGATGTGCCATCTGGGACCGTTTGATAAGTAGCAGAGTGCTGTGCGAGCATAGTCCGGGCAGAGTGAAGGTTTATGGCAAACTGTCGCCGCCCATCAATATCACCAGTGGTGTCCACTGTCACCTTTCCTTTTTAACTTCGCCATTGCAGAAGTCATAGAAGCAGCGTTCACTGGGCACGACCAAAAGGTGTGGAGCTACTTCTCGGCGAGCGACTACTTGAATTGACGTATGCGGACGAGGTTGCCTTCATATGTGACAGCGCCCAACCGTGCCAAGCAGCGCTGGATCGATTAGCACTGACTGTCAATCGTTTTGGGCTATGTTTTGCTCCATTGAAATGCAAAGTCCTTCTCCAACATTGGCAAAGACTCACCTCTGCGCTGACTCGCAGTGGTAATTAGCCAGAAGTCATTCAGGTACCTGGGCAACTATAGTAGGACCTGTGTGATTGAAAATACAATCACGAACCGCGTATCAAAAGCTGGAGGTGCATTTGTGTTAAGATTGCAAGACACCTGATAAGATTGTCACTGGCACGGTTGGAGCACACCTAGGGTAACGGCTTGGAACGCTGGCCAATCGAGGGGATTTGCGCTGACGTGTTGGCGTTAGCTTAGCCTGGGGTACGCACTGGAGAGACGGAAACTTGAGCGAGCATGAGAACGATCCTAGTCGCATGTATTCGGGTAGACGCCGAGCCCTCTTAACGCACGAGGCCACG